CCCATCATTCAGGACTGTCCCAAGTGTCTGAGTATCTCTTCGGCAACCTGTCTTTGCACCCTCCAGCCGTTTCACAGATCTATTTTAGACCACCATCCCATTTTTGCAAAGTTCCTGCACCAGCACATTTTCTCAAGTTTGAAGCATTGAATGAAAAAGCTGTGTCCCTAAGGGTAGCAGCAGGGAGCGGAAATATGCATTCAGCCTGCACACACACACACACACACACACACACACACACACACACACACACACACACACGACCTAATTTTTGGCCCTACTTTAGAGCATGGGCTGTTTGGATGTTTACGGGTGGCCACAAGTTATCTTTGGGGGGAATGTATGTTTTGTGGGCTGGCGTGGAAGGCTTTCCCAGTTTTCTCGGACCCTTAGCAGGGGGGGGTCGGTGCATTCTTGCTGGATGACTCTTCTCTTATCTTCTTCCACCTCTTTGGCCGTGAAGCGAGTGTGTAGTTTGAGATGAATGTCGGGAATGCCAATGCTGTTATATTTGTTTGTTTTGGCCCGATGCGGAAGACTCTCCAAGTTTTATCGGACCTTTGAGGGGGTCGGGTTGGTGCCTTCTTGCTGGAGTAGTCTTCCGTCTTAGGTAAGTTGCCTTCTGCCCTCCATCCCCTTATGGTGGGCACTTGGCCCTGAACCACGCAAATGTGGCCAACCTTGCATTTTCTTAATTATTGCCTATCTAAACTTTTTCGTTATGGACGGCTTGTGATGATTTGTGAAGGGAACGAGAGAGAGAATCTGGGGTCTTTTAAAACAACAACACACACACACACACACACACACACACAGAGGAGTCTTCTGTCTTAGGTAAGTTCTCTTATCGTCTTCCTCATCTTTGGCAGTAACACGAGTGTGTAGTTTGAGATGAATGTCGGGAATGCTAATGCTGTTATATTTGTTTGTTTTCGGTAAATAAGTTTTTGGTTTTGTGGGCCGATGAGGAAGGCTCTCCATGTTTTTTCGGACCTCTGAGGGGGTCAGGTCGGTGCCTTCTTGCCGGAGTAAGTTTTCTGTCATAGGTGAGTTGCCTTCTGCCCTCCATCCCCTTATGGTTTGAAATATATATGTATGTATATGTGAGTGTGCCTCTTTGGCGGCAGACGGGTGTGTGGGAACTTGGCGCTGAGCCATACAAATGTGGCCAACCTTGCATTTTCTATTACATTGCTTATCTATACTTTTTCTTTATGGATGGCTTGTGATGATTTGTGAAGGGAATGACAGAGAGTATCTGGGGTCTTTTAAAACAACACATATTTCGGTCTTGCTAGCTCTTTGTCTTGGCAGGTTTGGGCGGCTAGGATCGGGCTTGTGCTATACACGACTTAGTTATTTTCCCTGCTTTAGAGCATGGGCTGTTTGGATGTTTACTGGTGGCCATGAGTTCTCTTTGGGGGGAATGTATGTTTTGTGGACCGACATGGAAGGCTTTACAACAAAAATGAAAGGCGACTTTGGACTTTACTTCTCACAGCAAAAAGTACACCTTTCGACACCGGGAAACATACCGGTGCTCGAACCTTCTGTCCTTGCTGTTCAGCTCGAGAGGAGAGTAACTCCAAATTTCATTCCAATATACTACTCAGCATGACTAGTAACTCTATGATTTACCGTTCGTATTCACCCGCGTAGGCGGCGCCGTCGCAGGCCAGGTACCAACGCCGAATCTCACTACGAAAAGATCCAGCTCCAGCTCACAAAATCGAAAAAAAAAAATTCCGTTGTACTCAATCGCGTGGGGCATTACTGTCGCCGTCAAAACTGCGAAAAAGAAAACGGAAATCAAAACCTGGAAAGTACCAGGGGAGGCTAGTAAAGGGGGGGGGGCCTTTACTGGTACCCCGAAATTAACCCAAGTACGTGGTTCTCAAGGCTCAGATGCTGTTGCAAGTATTCTGGGAAGTACCGGTTTTCCCAGTCCAAGTCTTCCGTGGTAGGCTCTGTGCTCGTGCTGATAGCCATGTTCGCCCACCTCCCTTCCCATTCTCTCAGCGCCCGTCCTCCTCCCAGTTTAATAAGTGCACGACCATTTCTGCCCAATACAGGGTACCTTCTCTTCTTGCCGCCTTCTTGACCGCTGCATCAAAGGCTTCCATTGGGTAGCCAATAATCCTTAATTCCTTTCTCAAAGTCAAGAGTCCCCACCTGGTCGACAGATGGTGTTGTACACTGCTGCAAATTTTTGTACCCTGGGCGCATTTGACTCAAAAGTTCCTCAACGTTTTGAATCTCTCAGTTTCCCCCGTCCATATCGTATTCAGATTCTTGAATTTGTGCAAATGTGTAGATCCAAGCTGGTTTGTCTGTTACAATCAGTCGTGTTTCCAAATACTCCAGTATCCCATTATCGTCGTTTGTTCTTTCAAGTACCAGGCCTGTGGGATAGCATTGAACAATCCTGTCAAGTAAGTTCTCCAGATCTTCCCCCCCTTTGCGTTTCCTTGTGTCATACCGACCGATCAATAACAAATCATCAATAAATCTTCCTCCATCAATGTACTTCCCGTCACATCCAAGGGACGTGATGAACTGGTGTTAAGAAAACATACATAGTATGTTGGCCAAAGCTGGGCTTGCTCTCTCTCCCATCGAGATACCAACTTTCTGTTGCATTAGTTGTGCAATTCAATAAAAAAAGGTATTATTGAGCGGGAATTCGGTTAGACAATTGGATCAAACATCAGGAAGGATTTCCAACCAGATTCGCCATGTGATTTGCCAAAAGTGTTTTTTTTTTCTTTTGTCTTCAGTCGGATCCTGTAGTGTCCTTGGTCTCGAAAATGTTGCACAATCCATCTTACTGCCTTGATAATCTCACAGTGAGGCAGTTTAGTGAACATTTCCTTTACGTCGTACGTTATTGCAACTATTCTCAAATCGTCACTGCTCAAATTGTTAGTTTGCTCATTGATCTTGTCAATCTTTCTTTTCAGGCTTCTCGCCCCATCAATGTTAAAGTGCTTCAACCTGAGTCTTTTAATCATAAAGTTCAGACTCTGCGAAAGATATCCCATAGCACTTTTGATGGGGCTGAGAAATGAGGGCACGATTGGTCTCTTTTTTCTCAGATCCTTGTCCTTTGATAGGATATAGGCCTGTTGTAACATTCCTTTCTGGTCCCAATTGGCGATCCTCGTCAGTTTGTTATGGTGATAGCTCTTCTTCATTGTTATCAGAATATCAACCCTTGTTTCGTCAACCTTTTTGTATCCCTCATTATCATTGTACATCATTTCCATCGCTCTTTCGTAAAGCACAGAACATTCCACTAGTGTTGCTCCCGGGTTTCTGTCAAGTGGAGAAAGCACAAGCCAGTGAAAGCTTGCTTCACTCCCGGGACATATTCTGTGTCAAATCCCCCCGCATTCTTTGTCCTTGTGCCATAGTTTTTGCCATTTATCTGAAAGGTTTCGTTCTCATTCATACATCGCATCTCCTTCAGAGGTTTCAAAGCCAAGTTACAAGCCACATTCACTTCTTTCCCGGTGAGTTGTCCTCCAGGAAATGAAACATTTTTTGCATCGCACACAAAATCTCTGATCCCCTCGATTTCTTCAATTCTAACTTGGACGTGCCCGTCGCAGCGTGGCAGGTGAAAGGCTTTGCAAGTGCAGGACCATCCACTTCCTCTTGCAAAGCGCTGGTGGTTATGTAGGATATCTCCGACAGACTTCCGTTTCTGCCAGATTGTTCTCATCCTACCAACCAACAAGTTAGGCAAGCTAGTCGGCACAATCTTTTCCTGCAGCCATTTCTTCAAATTACTGTGCACCTTCCCTTTGCTAATTGTTTCACAAAACGGTAATTTCACAGTGATCCTATGTCTAGGGTTGATACCAAAACGATTCTTAGTCACTCTAGTGACAACTCCTTTAACAATTTGCCTTCCCCTTACTGTGTTAAGTAGTTTGATGCCGGCATCCAGGTCAATAAGTTCGTCCAAATTTTTAGTATACAAAGATTTTTTTTTTCAGGGGGCTCTCAGAAGGGTAATTACTTCAGCTTTCGCCATTTTGGCGCGGTTCTTTGTTTTCTTTAAATTTACAATCTTCCATGCCCCACCTTATTGGATAAATGGCTTCGCGTCTCTTAGCAGAAATTTCCTTCCAACTATTTTGACAATACTGCACTCAAAAAGCAGTTTTCCTAAACCCCATGCTTTCAACCAGTGTGTTCCTTTGTTATTTACAATAGTTAAATCTTTTGCATTGGTTGTTTTCTTGAGAATCTTCAGAAGACTCGGCTCTCCTTCTATTCCCAGGGTGTCACAATCAAACATAATGACATCCTTCAGGGTACACTGTACCCCTTTTCCTCTTCCCTGCTTTCTGGGTTTCCTTCTTGTAGGCTTCTTTCCTTTCTTCGCATTCAAACCAGGGTTATTAGCATCGATGATGAAAGATTTCATGCTTGATAAAGCGTGTTTACTGCCAAACCACACAAGAAGAGCAACGTAGTTAGCTAGACCGACCTTTTGCAGCCATCTGTGCAGTTTTTGCTTAGGTGTGGTCTTTACTGTATGCATATGTTTGTTGTCTGATGCTTGCGTTTCTTCTTCAACTTCTTTGGGCTCCGCCTCCTTCTTGTCTTCGGTCGTCTCCATCTTCCTTAGTACTTCAAAATCCAGGCGCGAGAGTTCCCACACTCCTCCTTCCTTCCTCTTGTAGGTCACCCCCCGCTTTTTGCATATTTCCTGCACTTCGGTGTAGTGCATAGCATCATAGTAGATGACCCCATCCTTAAAGTTTAGCCCAAGTGTACATTCATCCTTCCTTCCGTTTTTCCCATCATCAGCTTCGCCTTCTTCCTCTTCCTCCGCCTCAATCTTCTCTTCTAAGGGAGCATTCGGATGCCTGCTCATCTTGTCTTTTGTTTGCTTAGTACCACCGTTACTATGATGATCTAAGTAAACAATCAGTGGCATATCGACAAATGTCATTATTGTTACGTCGACCACCAGGTCGAGAAGCTTTCCCAGGAGATGCGTTTTATCTACATTCTCGTTTATTAGAAAGAGTTGTTGCTGGCATCCCTTCCTTTCGTTGCCAGGATTTCTAGGAGTAGGTCCTTCAGTTGCGCCACCTCCTTCAAGTTGCTCGTTGAATCTTCCAATTTCCCTTCGAGGTTCTGCACTACTGCATCCCTTTTTTTCGCGCTGTCGTGGGATGAGACTTCCACGGGCTTCCTTCCTCTATTGCCTCTCTTCAGGTGATTAGACCTTGATCTTGTCTTGCTTGCCCGTGGGCGAATCGGTGAAGCCCGCTCCCTTTTCCACTTTTCACTACTAGAGTTCTCCCGCAACTCTCTCAGTTGCTTCTCCATCCTTAGTAATTTCAGTTCTTCTAGTTCCCCTTCCTTTAGCTTAGATTTATTTTCCACATCATCTAGCTTCTCAGTCAAGATCCGTAGGGAGTTACTGACATTCTCGGCTACCCACTTTTTCCTGCTATCCTCTTTCCCACCCTCGGTCGCCTTCGCCTTTCCCTTATCCCGTGCACTCGATTTCTTCCCTTGCTCTTTCACCTCACTCTTCCCTTTATCTTTTTTTTTTTCACCTTCTCCTTGTATCTTCCTCAACCTTGTTATTTCGTCTAGATCCTTCTTCCTTGCTTCCTCTACTGCCTCCTTTAATTTCAACTTATCCAGAAAGTTGGCTTGCTCTTTTGTGAAGAAAGCGCATTGCTGGTAGTTACCAGCATTTCCTCGCCCATATCCTTGATTGAACTGCCCCGGATTCCCTGCAGGAACTCCCGCTTTTCCGTTCCGCTGTTGTGGAGGCGGTGTCGTACCGTATGCGTGCTGGGCAGGAGGGAAACCGAATGGGAGTGCGGCTGGATATGGTTGCTGGTAGAAACCGTTTGGAGCTTGGAATGGAGCGGCTGGCGCTTGGTATGCAGTTCCTGGTATCACGCCAGGTGGATGCGGAGGAGGAGCGTTCTCCATCCAGTATCTCCCACAATTCGACCAGCGCCCTCTGCCTCTACCTCGGCCTTGAGCCCGCATACGTAACCGTTATAGCCACAAAGATCTTCGAGTGATTGTTGATCACGGCAGATTCCGTTACTATTTTCCGGTTAAAATGCTCGAATGCACGATTCTCCACAATTTATCAACTCCGATTACATATACGTGTCAATCGCGGGTTTGTCTAGAACATCCCCGCAAACCACGTATCGTAAGCATGTTGGTAGTCCGTGCTTGTGTCCGCTATCGCTAGTTGCCACGGATCCCCGGTCCTTCGACTCGTGCCACATGTGAATCACCTTATATCCGCTAACGCTAGTTGCCGCGGATCCCCAGTCCTTCGATTATCACCTCGTGTGAGGAAGCCCAGCATGCCGTCACATACATGCGCCGAATCCCCTGATTGTCACAGGAAACTTCTAGCAACTCACTATGCACCCCCTTTCTGCAACACAATCCGTCTAAGTGCCCATCCAATTTAGGTCTCGCAATCCAAATCCAACGACGTCCTAACCATTCCCTTCCCGTCTTAGCCGATTGCTGACGCAACACCCCGTCGACCCCGAATCTAAACACGTGTCCCCGCGTCTAACAACCGTCGAATACGAGTTAAAGCACCCATCGAATATGCGTCCAAGACATAAGCCAAAACACCCATCGAACAACTGACGCAGTACTTCGTCTATGTCGGCCCGACTGGCGCGCACACGCGTACCTGACGTCATCAATTCGCAAAGTACCAAACACCCGGAATCCCATGACTGACGTGGAACATTACCTGGTTAGCGCAGCACCGTCGCCTCTGCCTTAGCATAAGACTGAAGCAACGCCACGTCGCAGTAGGTTGGCGGATGTTAAGCTTCCCTGCTTCGCCCACTCCACATTAGCGCAGGTCGATGGCGATTGCAAAGCGAAGCACCAACACCCCAGAGCCAATCGGATACGTCCGTTTTGGCATCCACACCACGTACCTACGAACATGTCCTCAACAGTCACAGTGCGAGCATGTACCAGCGTGAAGATCACAATGAAAAAATTGGTCTTCCACAACACTCGTCGATCATACTGAGTGGAACCACGTACCATAGAGTCGACGTAATAGGAAGAAAAGAAAAGCAAACTATACTAAAGAGAGAGAATGCTCATCAGTAATAATACCGGCGACACTATGAGATCGTACCCAAGCTTACTGCGAGGTCGATCTCACAGCTCTTATGTCATTACAACAAAAATGAAAGGCGACTTCGGACTTTACTTCTCACAGCAAAAAGTAGACCTTTCGACACCGGGAAACATACCGGTGCTCGAACCTTCTGTCCTTGCTGCTCAGCTCGAGAGGAGAGTAACTTCAAATTTCATTCCTATATACTACTCAACATGACTAGTAACTCTATGATTTACCGTTCGTATTCAACCGCGTAGGCGGCGCCGTCGCAGGTCAGGTACCAACGCCGAATCTCACTACGAAAAGATCCAGCTCCAGCTCACAAAATCGAAAAAAAAAAATTCCGTTGTACTCAATCGCGTGGGGCATTACTGCCGCCGAAATTAACCCAAGTACGTGGTTCTCAAGGCTCAGATGTTGTTGCAAGTATTCTGGGAAGTACCGATTTTGGAAGACTTTCCTAGTTTTTTCGGACCCTTAGCAGGGGGGCTCAATGCGTTCTTGCTGGAGGAGTCTTCTTTCTTAGGTAAGTTGTCTCTTATCTTCTTCCTCCTCTTTGATAGTGATGCAAGTATGTAGTTTGAGATGAATGTTGGGAATGTCAAAGCTATTATATTTGTCCGTTTTTGGTAAATGAGTTTTTGGTTTTGTGGGCTGATGCGAACGGTTTTCCATGTTTTTTGGGACCTTTGAGGGACACGCGGTTAATGGAAGGCCCAAAATTCGTGGTTTTTCGCCGCATCACTACAAGCAATGTCGTGGAAAATTTTGCGAACAAACTCTTTGAGGGGGTTAGGTCGGTGCCTTCTTGCTGGAGTAGTGTTCTGTCTTAGGTGAGTTGCCCTCTGCCCTCCATCCCTTTTTGAAATATATATGTATGTATATGTGCAAGTATGCCACTTTGGTGGCAGACGGGTGTGTGGGCACATGACGCTGAACCACAAACGTGGTCAACCTTGCATTTTCTATTTTCTATTATATTGCTTATTTGCTCGTTATGGATGGCTTGTGATGATTTGTCACGGGAATTAAAGAGGTATTATATTGCTTATCTATATTTTTGCGTTATGGATGGCTTGTGATGATTTGTGACGGGAATGAGAGAGAGAATCTGTTTTTTTTTTAAACAACACACACACACACACACACACACACACACACACACACACACACAC